AAGCGGCACTGCTGAAAAGGGGGTTGTTGTACCTTGGCCTCCTGCCTCTCTCCTGTGATCCATGACTAGCTTGGCAGAAGAGTCAACAAGCCCTGGGATAAACCATGTTACATCTTCAATGAGAAGCTGCCCTGCCTGAATGTGAAATCTTTGTGTGAGTGAAGGAGGAACACGGAAAGAAATGGGCAGCCCTTGAAGGGCTTTCTCCTCCCCACAGCTTAAACGGGGCCCTCACATGCCTACAGCTTTCCCCAGCTATTCATTTTGAAACAAAACACTCATTTTCAGAGAAGCCTTCCAGGAGGTCTGCATACTTCTGTGGGTCCTTTTTGCAACGTCGTTCCCAGTCACTCAGCTTCGTATTTAGCGCAAATTGGATCTCACTGAGTACCTGTAAATTGCAGAATGGGTCTGGTCCTCTTACTGCGTGTGCTCACAAGGCACCGCGCTGCAACGCTGTGCAGCACCACGCGCGGGATGGGTACCGCTTTACCCCGCACTGCTTTGCACAGAAAAACCCAAGCATAAGCATCAAACGGAATTTAGACGTGCTCTGTCAGGCTGACCCGCTGTGCGAGGCTCTCGCTGGGAGCCCCTTTGGATAGGGCAAAATTCTCTTCTCAGGTTCCCAGAGTAGCTCCTGACAGTCTCCCGAGCTCCTGCGCTGATGTATGGAGGCGTTTTGTGGTGTGAAAGAGCCTGAGTGCCCCGAAAGGTGTAATCTGTCACCGACTGAGGAACGGACAATAACAGCAAAACCCCCAAAAGAGCACGAGGCCCTTTCTTGAACCAGTTGCTCAGCGTCTGAGAAAAACTCTGAGTTGGTACCACTTGGGCAATGCACTTGTAGCCTCTTCCTCCTAATTATCACTGAGCTGATGGTCTAAGACTGCTTTGTGGATATGAGGACAGAATTTTGCCTGCAGGATGCACCATTACCAACTGTGCCTCCTCTGTAAATCAGTTGTAAATGTATTTGGAATAGCTGCCAGCCTGGCTTCTGCGCTTACCCGAGGACAGAGCTCCAGCAGATACAGTCCCACATGGCACAGAGCTGTTGCAGTTTTAAAATCAGTCTGATTTTTTTCTTTAACAGGGGAGCCCAGTGTAACTCCGTCAAGACTGGAGTGACACTCTGAATCTGCATCTGCCTCATGTGAGTTAAAATCCTGGCAGCAGCATTTTGCACAAGCTTTTTTTTTTTTTGAGATTTTTTTTTTTTTTTCCTTTTTTTTCCCTTTTCAGGAAGGCTATAAAGTTGTTACTGTCTGTGTCTTGGCAGCAAAGGTAAAAATAACCACACGAATGCATGAGAATTGCATACCTTACTGCACAACCCCTGCTCATTCCAGCCCGGCTTCCCTCCCAGCACGTCCTGTGTGAGGGACACGCGCACTCATCACCGACCTGAACGCTTGCAACGTTCACTCCCGGGTGCTGCTTTTTACCTTTCAGTCGTATAACGTTAAGCCAAGTGATGGTATTAAGGGGAGGCTGAAATGCTGTCAGCTGGCTTCTGGGGTTTTTTAAGCTTTGGTTGTTTTCTTTCCACCCTGGTTGCATAATCCACGGGTTGCTGGGTGCCGACTGCCCCACGCCGCTGAAGCTTTTGCGTGTGTTGGAACACGGGCTATTGAAATAACGTGGAGCTCGGGAGCTGGGGACTTGGCACAGTGGCAGGGACACAGCCGTCAAATAGTAAGAAGGAGAAAAAGAAATCAGAATGAGATGTAAATTGTGCTTTGGTCTTACTGTCATCTCGCGTGCACTGGACAACGATGCTTTGAAAATGGGTTCGTGGCTCTGCCTCCTCACCTGTCAGAGTTGGGGATGCTTGAAGTCTGGGCCCTTCTCAGCTGGGAGAAAGAGCTGAGCGCGGGAGACACTGCTTGGCAAGAGCTGAATTCATGGCATCGCCATGGCACGCAGATTACCTCCAGTTGTGGTTTCAGCCACCAGGTCTGAGGGAAGGGGATGTTCCAGGAAAGCTTTAAACCATTTTTTCATCATGCAGCTGCAGAAAATAAATACGGATCTGTCTGCTCTACTCCTTTTTTTCCCCACTGATGCCTGAAAAGACACGAGAGAGAGCGGCCAGCCCCAAGTACAATACTGAAATGTGTGTTTTCATCTAGTAACGTGTAGAACGGGGGCATCTTCCCGAATGTGCTGCCGTAGTTGCAGCAGTGTTAGCCTGTCCGTACTTGATCTGAAGGAGGTGGATCGTTTGTTTGCCCGGAAGCTCATGTTACTGAAACAGGCAATCACACAGCTTACAAGAAGTGTCAGTGGGTTGTGGCTTGTGCCGATGGATGCAGCATGTGCTGTGGTGTAGGTTGCTGTCAAGGTGGGCTTGGTGAGCTCTCCCTCCGTTCCCGGCTGCATGCTTAATTACAGGAAAGTTTACCACCAAGTATGACTGTAACTGGAGAATGTTTCTTGTCCCGTTCCTGTTTCCAGGAGTCCAGTTTCCTATGTCTCTGTTTAGTTCACATATCAAGAAGGCTCTCATTTTCCAGATATTGTGGTGTTGTGGAAAAATAAGGAAGGGACCTTTAAATGTCTTCAAAAAGAGAAGTCAAGGAAGCAAAACCTAGAGCTTGAGGGGTAAGGGGAGTAACTACTCCCCCAAGAGAAACACTCAGATGAACCCTGTTGCAGTACTGCCTCAACAGAGACTTGGGACGGTGAAGGCTGAGTTTGATACCTGTTCTTCAGCCTTTCTCCTACCTGTGCTTCAGATCCTTAGACCCAGAGAGCTCGGAGGAGGTCTGTGGTGGTAAATCTAAGGCAGAGAGACAAATACAGAAAGGAAGAAATGAAGCGAGGGCATTTTGTGAGCAGCTGGCCACGTGTCCCCCCACAGCCATTTTCTGGTGGTGGGTTAACAAGACACACAGGTTGTCCAACAAAGACCGACAGTTTCCCTGGAGAGGTTCTGCTAGAGCTGTTCATGAACCACATCTGCTTGTCCAGAGGAGAGGCCAACTTGCTTCTTGAGATGCTTAGTGTCTGGGCAGCATCACCATGGTTGGTGAGTTCAGAAAGAGTAGCGTTTTCTTGGAGAAATGTTTTGGGAGTGGTGTTTTATGGATAAGTTGGTGACATGGTCAATTCCTTGGAAGCTAATGAGGAGGAGTACAGCAGCTTCATGGACAGAGTGGGGAACTGGAGGCTGCTTCCCATAATGGGGAGCTTTGTAGTGCTTTCACCTACTGGGAGTATGTGCAGGTATCTTTATTACCATTTTCCCTGGGAAGTGCCTTTACTGTCCTGCATCAGAGGATTTCCCTTTTCCAGTTGATATTCTGGTGTCACTCTCACAATGTCTTTCATCACTTAACTGCCTTTTGCTCCCTCCAGCTCTAGCTCACTCCCTAGAATTGCCTTGTCAGTCACTGCTTTCTTCATTAGCTGTAGATTTTGATTGCTTATTCCTATCTATAGCTCCATCAACCCTTCCTTTCCTAGAGGACAGAAAAGACTACGTGCATTGAATGTTGTATCATGTCGTTGATGTTTGTCATTGGTATAATCATGCTTAAAGATTTTGATAACTGTTTTATTGATTCTACTTATCTGTTCAAGAACATTACAGTTTGCTTATTACCATTTTTAATGGGTTTAGTTCAATGGGGAAAATTAACTCTTGGGATTCTGCTGCTTTTTAGATTATTAAGAGATACAGGAGCCCTCTGTCATGGTTACTGTAATCTAAGTCCTTTGACACTTGCATTTCTTCTATAGTCCTTACCTTTTTAGTATTTTTGTAGTATTTTATGTGTTTGTTTTCTCCTCTCAGACTGAGCTTCTGTATTCCACAGTATATATATGGCAGTGATTACCTGGGCAGTATAGACGATGTGTATTAATATATATTGTGAGTCCCACAGATGTGCTAGATCTCTCTCAGGAAAAGCGGTCTCTCTTCTAATGAGCTTACTGAGTAACTTGCACATTTTTTGTATTTTACTCAACTAAATTTGAAGTACTCAGGTGTTTGAGACAGCTGGGCCATTGAGCCCATGGTCACCCTCATTGCAGTCGAGGGTTGTGTTTGACCTTGCTACAACTTAGGACCAGTTTAAGACATCGACCTGCAGCAAGTGTAAACACGCTGTCAGAGAAAAACAGCGATTTCCTTTTCAACGGTAGTTTAATGGTTTGATTAAGCAGTTCCTTTCCAGTACATGGGAAGGTCATTTGCAGGAAGAAAACAGGCCTGATGGTCGGAATGACTTGGTTGAACAAGCCCATTTCTTTGCATTGAGCTAAGGTGTGTGTCACAGATGAGCAGCTCCCCTGAAATGTAAGAACAGTAAGCTTGCTTAAGAGAGTAGCATTTTGACACACAAGGGTAATAGCTAACAGATTTTTACAGTGCCATATGGTATTATTAACAAACAAATCGTATGTTAACGTGACAGCTCTACCTCCAAGCTAGCAGTCTGCAGCAAACATAAATTCCCCTGAGATGCAACCTGGAGTCCGTACTAAGCTTTGGGATTCTATCCAGAGCAGTAGCAGTAGCACAGCAGTGATGAATTTCGGGCTTTATAACCATGAATACACATGTTCCCAAAATTTATTGGTTTCTTCATCGGCTTTGCGGAAACACAGCAAACCAAAACCCAGTCTGAGCAGGTGGAACGGGGAGCGTTCCTGCATCTGCCTAAGGGGATTGCAGGGAGGGGAGCTGCAGTCTGAAATGCGTTCTTCCTGCTTCAGAGAGCTGGGATAGACTGATGGATATTTCATCTGGTGCACTCTGCTGCTGAAACCTAAACTGCTGCTCCTCTCGGCTGCAGTCCTGGAGCGTGAGCTAATTCCACTGTGGCTCGGGGCTGGGGGACCCGAGGCAGCGAAGGGCAGGAGCGGAGAAGGGAGCGTGTGATGCGGAGGAGGGAGGAGGGCGAGCGGGTACGCTACTTTTAACTGCCTTCTTGTTTAACCCCCAAGCTGTTTTCAAATTTTCTAACTGAAATCTCATCTTGGTACAGTGTATAAATCCCCCGAATACGAATCTCTTGGATTTGACCTGACCGTAGAAAGATTAGTTTCCATTGGATACCCTCATGAGCTGCTCAATTTTGTGTATGATCCTGCATTCCCTACCAGGTAAATGACTAACAGATTCCGACCCAACCTGCTCGAGGCCTTGAATATTTGTTCTGTAAAGTTCACAGAGGACACGTGAGGCCAGGTTTTCAGAGTTGTGCCTGTGGTTGTCCACAGATCATGGGGAAGGGAGCGGACCGCTCCGGTATGTGGAGGGCCTTTGCACACGTGAGTCCATGCCAGCAAAGAGGGAGAGTGCAAGAAAAGAGGCCAGCTGAAAACATGGTCCGAAAATAACCTTTCACAGCAAAGTCAGCAGAGGCACGATTGGATTGGGGGTTAAATCAAAATCAAGAGGAGAAGGAGTCGTTACTGCCCATGAGGCTGATAGAATGTCTCAGAACATTTTTCTTTATTTATTTTAATGAAGTAATGTCCTGGTGCATAAGACATCCTGAAAATTAACCTGACATTAAGCAACCGTAAAAGTGGGACCGATCCAGTTCACTTGTCTAGATGAATCAAACCCTGAAAGCAAAATTAATGGTGCAAAGTTACTAAATTCTTACATTTTGTCTTTTGGTAGCAGAGGTAAAGGACATTGCTTGTTTTAAACAAAGCTTTTGATCCAACTCTGCACCTTTAAGTTGTTTCCACTTGTGCCTTTGCTGGATTTTGCCCTTTTGACTCTTTTGGAGACTCTATGAAAGACTGGCCCAGAGGGTCTGTTGACTCTGTGCTCCAGCCTTCAGTCCAGCAGCCTCCTTCCTTCCCTCCCAGCATGTTTTACGCCCAGATGCTGCTGGGTGCGCCCATGCCCGTAGCAGGGCAGTAGCCCTTCACAAACCTCTGCTGAAGACTCCATTAACCCCACTGCCTTCATGCCAGGGAGGGGACAGGAGGGATGTCTCTGTGGGAAGGCCACGTTCTCCAGATGCAAGCTACAGAGTTTTGCTGGAATTGGAACCGGGAATGCCCAAAGCATTTTGTGCAATGGTTGTGTGCCTCACCTGGCTCTGTCGGTGATGGAGCGATGAGGAAGAGGGAAGAAATACCTTTACCACCCCTCGCCCTTCCTTGCAGCCCAGCAGGGCTGGCAGGGAACCACAAACACAGGTGTCAGATTTGTGAGCCTGTGGAAGAGGCCCATGTCTTCCCTGGTACGTGCAGAGCCAAGCCTCTGCCGGGATGAACAGTTCTGCTTTCGAGTCTCTGGAGAGCCGATCGACTGTACCTTTCGCCTGGCAGTGCAGGGCTCTTGGTGCTCACCTGCAGCCAGGTGAAAGGGGCAGTAGGGACCCCATCTGTGTAACAGCGACTCTGTTCTGATGCCCCACGCCAAGCGAGCGAGCTGTTCTAGAGCTGATTTGGGAAGAACTGCTATTAAAATGGTCAGCGCTTAATGGCCTCGCTTCTTCATCTCTTCAATCGCTTTCTTAACAGAGGCCTGGTGTTTGATACCCACTATGGAAACCTGTTGAAAGTTGATGCCTATGGGAACCTCCTGGTGTGTGCACATGGCTTTAATTTCCTCAGAGGGTGAGTGCCGGCTCTTGGCTATTCTTTTTGACTTTATGTGTGGCTGATCCTCAGGGCACCCATTGTCTAAGGAGTCACGGGGACTCCACTAACAAGAGATGCTGTATCAGTGTCCCTACAGCTCCAGGATTAACTGGGGATGCCTTGAGGGTCCCAGACACAGCATCGGCCCATGGAAGGCAAGCGTGGGCCAGCTCAGCGCCCCCAAGGTGATAGGCCTTGTCACTGCAGGCCTGTGCATCCTTGCCTCAGGAAGCCAGAATTTAGAAAAAGCTCTTACATGTGCACTCAAGTTCCACTTTCAGCCAGAGGTGATCTTCAGAAGCTCCAGAAATGAAGGAAACCAGAATAATTAACTGACTGTAGTCATCACCACCCTGCTGATTAATTGCAGAGCGCCCTGGGCGAGCCTCCCGCAGCACAGCCCTGCACTCCCCTGCTGGAAGCTGCTCGGGGGAGTGTAAAGCAACACATGGGAAGTGGGGGAAAGTTGAAGATAAGCAAACAATGAAAGTGCAGATGGTTTAAGGCATCCTCCTAGCCAGCAGCATGGGGCTTAAGGTCGAGCCGTGGACTTGCGACCACTCTGTTGCCCTGTGTGGCTCTGCTCGGTTGCCGACTCAGCGATGAGGGCGCGCTGCCCCGCTCTGCCGCAGCCGGCACGGTGACGGAAGGCTGGTGGACGCGGTGCACGTGGGAAAGCTGCGTGTTGATTAAAGCACAGCAGGCTCCAGTTAACGGACCTCACTACAGCTGTGTTTTGCAGGTCAGCACGTTTTATCCTCGTTATTTTCTGTGGTTTCATTCTTCTCCACCTTATCTATTCTCAGGCCTGAAACACGGGATCAGTATCCAAATAAATTTATCCAGAGGGATGACACAGATAGGTTTTACATTCTGAACACGTTATTCAATCTACCAGGTGAGTCTGACCTGAGCCAACACAGGCCTGTTTCTGTGCCTTTGACGCCAGCAAAGCTTTGCTAATGTCATACTCAACTGGTTTTGGTTTTGGTTTTGTTTTTTTTTTACATGAACTTTCTTCTTTTGGGCCCAGGCCTAAAGTTAGCTGGCCACGTGATGTTATCCTTGGTTTAAAATCTTGTTTTATTTCTTTGCAGAGACCTACCTGCTGGCTTGCTTAGTGGATTTCTTTACTAACTGTGACCGGTACACTAGGTATGTATTCCCTCCCGTTCGAGGTGCCGACGGCACAGCACGGTGGTTATTATAAAGACCAGTGCAGCACGGATGGGGCTGTCCTTAATATCAGTGGAGGCCCCTCAAGTGGTTTCATTGGGGAAAAGCTCAGGCCTCTTACTCTTTTGACATTAAGAAGATTCAGTGGTGAGGGGATAACCTGTGTGTACAGCAGTGTGAGGGTTTCCTTCACAGGGTGTGTCCGTATAACCATACTGACTGACACTGGTATTTGGGCCAGCTTCTAAGACTACACACTTGTTACAGGGCCATTACAGGCACCCGACAGCTCATTTTGAACCCGTGTCCATTTGAGCCACATTTGAACTGGTAACTGGAAGGCTCAGTTTCCTCAGCCAGTTACCATGAGTCCATCAGGTCATAACCGAGGACTTTGTTCACTTAAAGGTGAAATGCTCGGGCACAGCGTGGGGTAAAAGGCTGTTTGTGCTGCATGAGTATTTACCTAGCTTTCAAATGGGTATAAATACAAGCTGTGGCTTGAACGGGCAGAAGTGAATTGCTGCTGTGCTGCTGGCTCATGTGATGGGTCATCTTTGCGTATTATGTGAGTGGAAGGCAAAAGTTTAATGGGATTTTGCCTGGGAGCAGAGGAACTGTTTATGCTGACAATCCATCACGTGAAGTGCCTTTTCTCAGGACAGGCGTGATGATTGCTGGCATAATAAATATAGCTCTGTTTAATCCTCCTTGATTTCTTCTGATGCAAACTCTCATGGGTGTCTCAAAGATACCTCCACAGTATTTTGTAGAGGAAATTTCTCATGTTAACTCTAACTCTTCAGCACAGTAATTCCTCCTTTCAGCAGCGAGTGTTACATTTACTTGATTTCCATGGCATCCCCTTCTTCAGCTTTGGAAAGAGGGAGAAACAGCAGCACTCTGCTTACTTTCTCAGTACCATTCATCTTTTGTAAAAGGCTGCAAACTGCGCTGTCCTTGTCTTTTTTCCATCTTCTGGGGGAGAAATAAGAGTTGCAGTCACAGAAAGCAAGCTGTAGTACTGCTGTGGAGGCACAGGCCCATAGTTAGGAACTCGCATCTTAAAATTGTAAACAAACGCTCTTGGGTAACACGCAGATCCTGTGAAGTCTGGTGGTAGCCTTCTTTCAGGTCTGAGCCGCAGCAGATTAATAAATAAGAAACCATTATGGTAAGATGAAAATGCAAGCTCCTGACAACATTTTGAACTGTCTCTCTCCGTGACGTGTTCCCTCACCTGCTACGCTTGGCCACTGCAACCTCTGTCTTCTTTCTCCTCACAGCTGTGAAACAGGGTTTAAAGATGGAGACCTCTTCATGTCCTTCAGGAGTATGTTCCAGGATGTCAGAGATGCTGTTGACTGGGTTCATTACAAGGTGATCGCACGAACTCCTTGGGATGTCTGTAGTTGTAGCTGAGTTAGAGGGACTGCTTTGTAACTCATGAATTAAGATGTGTTATTCCTCTTTTGGGCAAGAGCCCTGCTTTGCCGCCTAGTGAGCAAATAATAAATTGCAGTTGTATGTGAGTAAGTCAAGATCTCGACTGCTCTCCTAGCATGGAACATACCTGTCTTGGCTTCCTATTCCTTTTTATTGTGCCCAGGTTCCATTTCTGTACTGTAGTTCACAGGTTTTAGTACACGGTGCCATGAGGGTATTTGCAATTACAGTTCACAACTTGTACGTTGTCCTCACTGTTAAAACAGCATTTTACTGTAAATGGTTTACACTGGTACTATCTTACGTTGTTTGAAAAGTACCTGCATTAAACAGAGACATGCATCTTCCCTGTTTAGAGAGGAGAGGCAGTTCATATTTTTCACAGACTTGTGCACGAATTTAGAATATAATTTTGTGAGCATTACCATCTCGTTAAAGACCTGTTTTTCTTGTTTTTCCTCATTCAACAAGTCCGTTGGGGTGGGATGGAGAACCATCACGGGAGAGCTCTGCTCACAGTTGTCCTTGTGGTGGTCCTTCTGGCCATGCAGAAGTCAGGAATCTGTTTCTCTTTCCTTATGCAGTGTTGTGTGATACATGTTGGAGTTGGCCTTTGAGTAAAGCATTATGGTCAGTGTTGGAGACAGGTCGTTGACTGTCTTGTTTGGTATGGCAAATCTATTTTTTGTTTGTTTCTATTGTATTCCCTTCTGAAAGGGTTAAAATGCTGTTGAAGTGGATTATTTACCATGGTGAGGGAATCGATGGATCACAGAGTTTGTGATGGTCCCTGCTACTCAAAGCCTCTCATCTCTAGAGTCACTGGTTCAGATTCGCCCTGGTTTGTACTTTCACAGCATTTTAAAGTGTGAAAGTTGGCATTACTTTGATGTCTCTTACATCATAAGTTTCCATTACCTCACTGGGTTCTGTTGTTTCTATTTCAGGGATCGCTCAAGGAAAAGACCCTTGAGAATCTGGAAAAGTACGTGGTGAAAGATGTAAGTGTGAAGTTGCTTTACTTGTGCTACGTGACATTCTGTACTGAGTAAGCAGGCAAGAAATAAACATGCTGATTTGCTTTACTAAATCACAAAACAGATAATGCTGTGATTTCTATTGTAATAACCAAAGACAAAGTGGAAAATTCGGATGCAGCCTTTATTCTGAGCCAGTGACCCATGTGATTTCCTATCCACGTGCACCTTTTTTTACGTAAAACGTCAAAGCCAGAGGAATAGTCATCACGGGACACAGGTGAAGACGCTGGCAAGGCTCCTGTTGTTTCTTTTGGTGGTGGAAGCAGCTGCGTTCCCTGCTCGTGTTTTCTCCGCCCAAGCAGACCGCTTTTTAAAAAGCCAGAGATGAGCATTTTTTTAGATGGAAGTATTCCTTAGCCATCCCAGGAAAAAGTTACATGCATTTAACCATGAGGAACTGAGGGAAAGGTCCTGAAAGACTCACCGACATCTCCAGCCTCTTGATAGCCCCAGTATGTGCGTTGAGCACGTCTGATGGAGCAAGCGCCAGTGGTTCCCTGGCTTTTGCCCCCCCTGCAGTGCGCGAGGCCCCTCTGGACCACTACAGAATAATTATCCTCTGGTTTAGATGAGCTCTGTGGTAGAATCTCCCTTTAAAGCAGTTAACCTTGTTTCTAGTTACATGCCTGTAAAATTCTTAGGAAACCGTTCTGTGGGGTAATCAGCTACTCTGGCAATGGACTGAGATTTATGATTCAATAAAAATAGCCCCAGGAATAAATTCTCCCTAATTTGAGGTTGGAATTATAATGCTGTGGCTCGCCTGAGGGACTTGGAGCTGGAGGAGCTGCTCCAGCGTGCCTGGCACGGAGCAGGTTGGTGGGAGCAGCACAGGGTGCCTGGGCACTGTGCTTGGCAGAGGTGCCGCCGCAGCCCTGCTGAGCCCTCCCTCCTCGCCGTCCTCCCCTGCGCCGCGCTCCGGAGGGGTGTTACGTGGAAGGGAGCAGGAGCTTTCCTGCTTCTGGCCGGTGCAGAACACGTGGGTTCGCTTGCCTGGGGGTTTGGTTTGCTTGGTTTCGGCTGGGGGGGTTGGTGACAGTTGAGCGTTTTGCCCACGATGACTCTGTGTGTAACCTGCGTGTCCCTTGGCTTTCAGGGGAAGCTGCCGCTGTTGCTCAGCCGCATGAATGAAGTTGGGAAGGTGTTTCTCGTCACCAACAGCGACTATAAATACACAGACGTGAGTGCTGCTTGAACTGTTGTGCTGGTGTATAACGGGATAAGCAAAAGCCAGCCCTTCGTGTGGGTTCTGGTGGGACATCTTCTGGAGGAGGGTGGGTGGGGTTTAAGCTAGGTGTAGGATGGTTTGGTGGTGAATGCAGCTTAGGTCTTGAGTCGTCTTTTGCAGTCCTGGTTCTGCTACTGACCTAGTACGGGCCTGGCTTAAGTCCCTCTGTGCCTCACTCAGCCCCTCAGCAATTAAAAAGCTGAAAGAGAAAGTGAGACTCATTTTAGATTTCAGCATCCTTTAAAATGCAGAGCTTCCCTTTCGGGTGAGGTGGTTCTGAGTACAGACAGGTCACCAAAGCTAGGGTCCTGGAGCGGTCTGAGAGCCAGAAGGTTGTCTGCTGTGCTGTAGGAATGAACGCGCTGACTTTGACACCAGGTAGATGTCAGGGTATTGCAACACTGCATAAATGGCATATAAATCCAAAGGTTTATGTGCCGTTGTTTAAAGCTTTGCAAGATGCACCTGAGACAGCGTGCAGATTTCTGAGGCAAATGTGTTCTTTGATTATAAAAATTACTATTTTAATTACTGTCACTATAAATTCCATTTTGGCTCCAAATCTTGTGCTGACTGTCCTGTAAGTCCTGAAAATACGAGTTCTCTAACTTTAAAAAGATAAAAGCAGATAAGTATGCTTTTATAAACTACATAAACGTACATTTAAAAACACATCTTTGAATATTTTCCTTCTGTCTTTCAGAAAATTATGACTTACTTGTTTGACTTTCCACATGGACCAAAGGTATGTGATTTCTAGACTGCAGTTCCAGTGGGAATTGATGTGCCTAATTATCTGTGTAGCTGGAAAGCATTTTAATCCTGATTCATCGGCTGCATGGGATTAGTTGCTTTAATCTGGTTAAAATACACTTGCTGGTTTGTGTCCTGTTTGAATGGGATCAAAGCAAATACAGTATAACAAAGAGAAAAGAGGCATCATCTCGTCTCACACGTTAATCTGTGTGAATGATAACATTATTTTAGTGATAACAGTGCCATTTTGCAGCCAGGTTTCTTAGAAATCTTGCACTATGCTGTAAAAAAAATACAAAAACAAAACCAAAAACTTGATGGAAGGAATTTATGAAACAGCAGAAATGCTTATGGCTGATTGTGCCTGATAGTGACTCCAAAAGTTTGAGCCGTGCTTTTTCTGGTTTTCTGAGGTCTAAGCTCAGCCCTGCAACTTTTGGAGAGAGGCTTATGAGCTGAATTTGCACTGCTTTCTCCGTCTCCCAGTGGGAAGCTAGCTCACACTCAAAAGACGTGTTTTCACGTTGTGTGCTAAAGGTAGAAGGTGGCCAGGGGAAAAATTTTGACAATATGGGAAATGGCCACAACTGGTATCTCCAAAGACTCCTTGCTGTGGTCTTGATCTTGGAGCAGAAAGGGCTGGTGAGTGCCCAGTGTCCTTCGGGCTGTGCTCTGTGGAATAGAGTCCAGGCATTTTCCCACGCTTGGCTAACGTACGAGTTTGGCCTCGTTCGGCCAAAGCCGTGAAGTCGCGTGTGTCCGAGCCGGGGGATTTTGGTGGAGCAGCGGGATCAGGAGGTTGTGGCTGTGGACAACGACTCTCCAGTTCAAGTCCCTGTGTTTGACTGTGTTGTGCCTGATTCTGGGTTTGTCTCTGCAGCCCGGGAGTGCCCATCGGCCGTGGCAGTCCTACTTCGACCTGATCCTGGTGGATGCGCGGAAACCCCTCTTTTTTGGGGAAGGCACGGTGCTGCGGCAGGTGGACACGGTGGGTGGCATATGGAGGGTGCCCCTGCAGCTGGAAGGGCTCGCGCTCCTCCTATGTCTCTTAGCGGTGACGGGCAGCTCGGTGTGCGGACAGGACCTGCCCGAGGGATGGTGGGCTGGCTTCTCCCCTCGGCGATTCCTGAGCAACCCCGTCACCTGGGGCACAGCAGAGCTCCAGGCTTGGCTGGCTTCCCTAAGCTGCTGCCGGTGGCAGTAGGAAAAGAATGTGGAAATCCACCTCTAGGCTGCCTGGGAGTGAGAGAGAGATGGAGTAAAGGACAGAAAAGGGTCCAGACCATTAGCTGTTGTGTACTAACGCAGGATCTCCTCCCTCAGGTGACCGGGAAGCTGAAGATCGGTACCTACACTGGCCCGCTGCAGCACGGCATCGTGTACTCGGGAGGTGAGGCAAGAACCCTTCTTTGTCCTGTGGAGTGGCCCTGACGTGCCCTCGTGGCCTTCAGCCGCTCCATTTGGGTGAGGACTTGTGCCAGGTGCTGGGCAAGTTGGCATTTCCCAAAGCATATTCCACCGTGCCTCTGCACTGGAAGCTCTCTGACATCATTGCTGCCCGGTGTGGGGAAGCAATGGACCCGGTCCTCTTCCAACGCCCTTTGCTTCCTGTCCGGAGGGTTTGGGAAATGGCACTGCAGGGCTTGTGGTGGAGAGGGAGCTGCAGCCGGCCCCATGCAACATTCCCAGCTGTCCTTACAGTGCCGCCAGCAACGTGACCACACGTGGAGGGTCCACTGAGCCAGGGAAGGGCAGCGGGTGGACACAGAGGGCTGTCTCTGGCACCCGGGGCTCCCTGACTCTCGCAGGGGGTGGCAGGCAGCTTGGCCTTTCTGCTGCTGCCATTCATGGCGGGGTTGAACTCCCCCCAGGTGGGTGCCCTGTGCTGCCATGCCAGGCAGGAGAGCTACATTTAGCAGCGGAGGTTTCTGGGAAGAAGATGCCCCTGCTCCAACCCTAACCCTGCCCCTCTGAACTGAGCCAGGCGCTTCCTGTGGCTCCCCATTCTGAGCCATGCCCTTCTTCCCTCAGGCTCTTCAGACACCGTCTGTGACCTGCTGGGAGCCAAGGGGAAGGATATCTTGTACATCGGAGACCATATCTTTGGAGACATCCTCAAATCCAAGAAGCGCCAGGGCTGGAGGACCTTCCTGGTGATCCCCGAGCTGGCGCAGGAGCTGCACGTCTGGACGGACAAAAGCGGTCAGCAGCCGGGAAAGCCCAAGCCGGGCTTTGCTCCTGCCTGCCCGGTGCTGCACCCCTGAGATCGCCAGGGCGTAGGGTGCAGGGCAGAGGTCACCCTGCCTTGCCGCTTCTCCTTTCGGTCCTTTTTTCCCAGGGCTGGGTGTGGGTGGCAGGGGCTGGGGCCGCTCCCCGTGGGTGGCCTTGGGGTCCCAGGGCTTCCTTGCGCCCTTTCCCGGGCCACTTGCGCGTGATCAGCCAAGTGCTGACTTGGATGGGGAGAAGCTGCAGCTGGGTGGGGGCTGAGTTGTTCCTCATCCATAACCCTCCCCCAAAAACTCCTCTCCCTCTGCCCCTAAGGAGCTGTGGCTTCTCTGGTGAAGCTGATGAGGCGCCTGGGTTATTCTCCCTGTAATGCCTGAGCCATGACTGCTCTCCCATCTGCAGGGAGTCCCTGCTCACCAGCCGCTTCCTCCTCCTTCCTCCCGCTCCCTCTGCTGCTCTGCTGCCCAAGAGCTGTGTGTTTCCCATCCTCCAGCGCTACTGCTTTTCTCCCAGGTTTGCCCTTCGGTGTGTGCCTAGGTCTGGGGGTTATGCAGGTTTGCCCCGTGGCTGGTTGGAAGGTTTTGGCGAGGGCTGTGAAGGTTCAGCCTCAGAAACAAAAGGGGCAACAAGAAACCAAGCCCAAAGCTCTGCCGGTGGCAGAGAGCGCGACGGAGCCCTCTCCCTGCACCGTGGCCGTGAGATGCCACGTTCCCCGAGGCAGTGGCCCTCCCCTGCCGTGCAAGGGGAGCGGGGCAGGATGGGGGTTTGCTTTCTGCTCTTTCGTGTCAACAGTTTAAACTTACCTTTTTCCCCTTTCTTTTCTGGATTTTTCCAGCCCTTTTTGAAGAGCTGCAGAGTCTGGACATTTTCCTGGCCGAGCTATACAAGTGAGTGTTCAAACAGTGACAGCTTTCCTGCTGCCTCTCCCAGCCTAGCGACGGCTACCGAGCGGCTCCGACGGAACCTCGGGGTTGGGTTAGCGGCACTGCTGCCGGAGCTTTGACTCAGGCCTGGGCTCTGCCCACGAGACCAACCTTCCCCTCCAGACCAGCCTCCCTCCCCCGAGCCCCCATCCCACGGCATCTGGTTCTGAAAGGCTTTTCACACCGTGTGTTTACCTTCTCGCCTGTAACTAGGCATCTGGACAGTAGCAGCAATGAACGCCCTGACATCAGCTCCATCCAGAGACGCATTAAGGTACCAATCGTGAAAATCCCTTTTCATCCTTTTGGATCCCCAACGGGCTTGAACCGCCCGACCCCACCGCTCAACCCTGAAATGCTTTGCTCTGCCCTTGGGTGGGCACGGCCCGCTTGGCAAAGCCCTCTGTCTTTGCGGATCTTTGCGGACGCAAACAGAGGAGTTTCTCGGCTCACTGGTGTCACTGGCACTCCGGAAAGGCAGCCTGGTCTGGAATAGGGTTTCCTCCTTCCCTCCTTCCCTCACGCACGCAGCAGCACTGACGGACGGTGCTCGCTGCTGCGGAGCGGGGCACTGGCACACGCTGGGGCGGGCTGTAACCTCTGGTTCAGCCAGTGCTGGGCAGGAGCTGGCCCTGAGCCTGCTGCTGCCTTCCCCTCTGTCAGCTGGGGCTCGGCTGTGCTCTCATGCCGCGGGCTACGAGCCCAGAAAGCCTTCCTGGAGATCCTTGCCGGAGATCCTTGCTGATTCCATGTAGCCCCCAGCCCATGGCGCGCTCCGCTTCAGTGTTGTCGTGGCTCCGCGCTGCTGCCTGCCTGGCCCCGGCTCTAACCTGCCTTTTGCTCGTAGAAAGTGACCCACGACATGGACATGTGCTACGGGATGATGGGGAGCCTCTTCCGCAGCGGCTCCCGGCAGACCCTGTTTGCCAGCCAGGTGATGCGCTACGCCGATCTCTATGCAGCCTCCTTCATCAACCTCCTCTACTACCCCTTCAGCTACCTCTTCAGAGCCGCCCACGTCCTGGTGAGTCGCAGACCCCGGGTGGGGGACCCCAAGGTGCCTGCGCTCGTGTTGGTCACCGCTCCTGCGAGCACCGGGAACGGCACCTTGGAGGGTCGGGTGGCGTTTGATGCACCACGGCTGAGGGGGCACATTCTGGGATCCGCTCTCCGTGTCTCGGGGAGCCACCCTGGGACTGGGACGCCCTTGGCCATCTCCGCTCTCTCTTACTTGTGCAGATGCCGCACGAGTCCACGGTGGAGCACACGCACGTCGACATCAACGAGAAGGAGTCACCGATGGCCACGCGCAATCGCACCTCGGTGGATTTTAAAGATTCTGACTACAAGCGGCATCAACTGACCCGCTCCATCAGCGAGATCAAACCGCCCAACCTCTTCCCCCAGGCACCTCAGGAAATCACACACTGCCACGATGAAGATGACGACGAGGAAGAGGAGGAGGAAGAGGAGGAGGAGGAGGAGGAGGAATAAGGAGGAAAAAGCGAAGCATCTCTGAAGCCAAACCGTGACTCTGGCAGTGATCAGGAGCGGATTCCTTTGTTGGGGCCCTTGGGGTGATGGGTTGGGGGGTGTGATTCTCGCAAAGGCACATTTTGAAAGTGTCTGGAAACTTTTAACAAATTAACACTAATTAGGAGGAGACCCTTGTTTTCAGTTTTGCAGACGGTTCAAAAAGCGGATGGATTCTGCCTGGGTGGTGCATTCAGATCGGACTGCCCGCCTGCGCTGTCGTGCTGCTCCCATTACATTTAGGGATGCTGCATGTTTCTCCCTTTCCCCTGGCGTGTTCCATTGGATTTTCATTTGAACGGTGTCCCATGAACGGTTTTTGCCATTTGTTACATTGGCTGTGGCAGGAAGGGATGTGCTGGGCCATGCAGGAGACAAAACCATCCCAGTCCTCATGCCTGTTGGGTTGCTGCCCTTCACCTTCTGCATCTGGGTTAGAAGCTGCTCCCTCCCCATGTTCGCCACGGTGTTGCTGTGGCTCCGGCGCTCGGTGTACCCTCTGCTCGGCCCGAGTTTCTCTCTGCAAGCAGTTCGATCCCTCCGGCTGTCGCGGATGGCGGTGGGATTCCAGCTCTTGCGTAGCTGCAGCTGTACGCGTTTCGGCTTGTAGGCGCCTGTCGTCCCCTCCCGGTGTTTCAGAGCTCTCCTTCATCGTCGGCATGCGATGCATGATTTCCAACGCGCTTCTCCGGCAGCTGAGCCGCACGCTGTGCTCTCGGCTCCTGCAGTTTCCGCAGTAAATATTAACCCAGGAGCTTGGAGCTGCTGCTTCAGCATTACGTTAGTTGGTTTGTCCCCCCGCTGCCTGTTCCTGACTTTTCTGTCTGCTCCGCTTTAAGAAAGGGGAGCATCCCAGAGCCAAACCAGCCACCTCCTGGAGCGAAAGGGCCTGCGATTCCGGGGTGCTGCAGGCCACGTGTGTCTGCCCTGGCCGTACCACGAGGCCAGTGCCGCGGTGGGAGTCGGGGAACTCCCGTCCGGCTGGCAGCTGCCGCGGAGCCGCGGGCGGGTTGCGGTGGGCAAGGCTGCATCCCTGGCCAAGGAGGGTGATGGCTGTGGGCTGCTGCGCCGGGACCAGGGGTGCCCCTCGGGGACGGGCAGGCGGTCCT